AAGGCATATGTGTCAATAAATATGATTTAGGTTTTTTTTCGTTCTTTCCTGTATAAATGTTAGACTACGTAAAATCCGTCGAATAAAACATACACGCATTGGTAAAAATCTTTTACTTTTCTTCTGATAAACCATTTTTTTCACCGTATCGTATACGTGACATCATTAGCCTTCAATGCTCCGAGCAAGCAAAACTATCATGTGTTATTATTCTTTTTCTACTTTCTCTTCTCATATCTCGGCTTGTCCAAGCGTAACGCGATGACGTTTTGTCCGCTGTGTCTCTAAATTTTCTCAGCAACAAAATCACTTAGAAATTCGATTTTTTCGTCAGAAGGTGTCTCCTTATGTACTCTTGGAATCCGGTAAATTTGAGTTTATTTAGCAAAGCATTCTGAAAATCATAGCAAAAGTATACAGCGTAACGCGATGATGGACAAGGGACAAAAATTTGAGGGTGTTCTACTCGTTCTTTGTTTTTCTCCAAATGTATATTATCTTGAACAAAATGTTTTACAATAAATTTGTAGTAAACACTTTGTAGTATTAATGTGAAAAAGTTTTTTTCGAAAAGGTCTCTCATTAATAGTGAAACTTCGGCCACATTAACGTTACGCGATGACAAAAATTGGAAAAATAAAACTCTTTTTCTGCTATTAGCGTATCCATAATGGTGAATAAATGCGAGTTAAATCTCATGTTCTGAAACCATCAAATAGCTTTTACACATTTTCTCTCTTATTACATCGGATAATACTGGTGATATTTAGACCTGATTTTTCAAACTAGCGGTATTGAAGGTGACGCGTTACGTGGACAAGCCGATCTACATTTAACTAATATTAAACTAAATAATAACAACAAAAACCATTCATTAATTTGAATAAAAGGTCTTGATAATCTCAAATAAATATTTTATTTTTCTTCTCGTACGATCGATCAATTGGTTTAAGAATCAATTTAATCAGTACTTGAATACACAGACGCATTTTTTTTTTCATTGTATCAAAGAAAAAAAGAAAAAGAAAATAATAGTTTATAAAGTACAGAAATTTATGGATCAAACTGAAATCGACATCATTGGTATGCATAAAAGGTCTTTTTCTAGCCAGGGAATCCTTCGAAACGGTACCCACCATCCAATCTTGTATTTAACTCTTACACAAATATTACTGAGATTATTTTAAAGTTTATAAGAGTTAGTCCTCATTAGCCTTTGGCATTCTATTATAATCAGTTTACTGAACTTTTGATTCATCTAACGTACTTCTTGAAAAGCAGATTTCAAAAAGTTTCAATCTAATCTTTTGTCTATAGATAGGTATAATGACATTTAGCACAGTCGAAAAGTTACAGTCGAAAAGAAATTTTCAAGTGAACTTGACCTTTTTTGACTCAAGACTATTTTTAGAAATTGAATATGTTGTCGAAGAAACAATGTTTTCAACTGAAATTTTCACGATATACTAAGAGTGATTAAAAAAATAATCTATCGTCAGAATTTTACATCAGAGTTTTATGATTTGATACTGTTTGAAACTACGTACATATGTGTTGAGAATTCAATGAACCGGTTATAATTTAGTGTTAACAACCTATAAGCATGATCCATTTTAGGTTTTTATTAATTTCTTTGACAAGAAAACCCTCCAACTACTTATTCACGTTAAAGTTTAAACCATTTGCATGATGTACATCCAAATGCGCTATAAATACTCTGAAAAAATTACATGATCTTAGTTTATCAATGTGAATATGCTGCAATTTTACGGTATTTTTTTCAATATTAAGACTTGTCTCTATGGAAATTTTCAAGAAAATATTCTAAATTCAGTCTTTCTAGCATTCTTGAGAGAGACGGTAGCTTTCATTACAAGAATAGTATGATATTGCAATATTTATGTACCAATAAGTTAAGAGCATGAAGTATCTTCAGATTATTCATAGCTCTGTTGGATCTACATAATGCACATAATTTAAACTTTAAAGTAATCAAACAATTGAATGATGTTCCTTGTAAGATCTGTCTAGAAAACCAATTTAACATCAAACCACAGGTATTCGATGAGATAATAAATTGCCATACAGCAATAATTAGAGCACTCCATAGTTCTCAGCAGACATATAATCGTTTTTATGATTTCTTCGAAGAGCTTTGATAAAAAAGTGCAGAACAAAATTTTTTCTGAAAGAAATTCTTAACACGACTAAATCTCATATAAAACCATGATCCAGTTATGACATTTTCTTTCCTGCATACATTTATTTAATACGTCTATATCTGCCAGACATGTCATATTTCAGTTCAATTACTTAAGAATTAAAAAAAGAATTTTTCGTGTAATTAACTTTTTATGTCTGCGACATGTAGCAACCACTGACGAGCTGCAGCACACACTTGTCTCTTTATATCAGAGACCGAAATGGAACCGAACCAAACTCGAAGTACTGCTTCAAAAAGTGACGTTAAACTGAACCTAACCTAACTAATTTTTGAAAAGTAAATAACTGTAGACAAGTACATTAGAAAAAATAAATAACTTAGCTATAGTCCCCCTCGGACAAAAAAAATTGCCTTTTTCTATTTCATTTTCGCATCACTTAATCCGTTGCTATAAAAAAACAAAACATAACACAAGATGCAGCGTGAAAAGAACTACAATTTACAAAGTAAACCGTTATTTTAATTTTGTACTTTTTGTTTTCAAAAAAGGCGCAATTCTGTGCGACTAATTTTCGACGCTGCGAAAAAATCATTTTTTCTTATCTCATCTTTTTATCACCTAATGTGCTTTTGTAAAAAAAAACAAAATATACCACAAGATGCAGCATGAAAAGCTCTACAATCTACAAAGTAAAGCTTATTTTAATTGTGTACTTTTGTTTTCAAAAAAAAGCAAAATTCTGTGCGACCAATTTTCGACGCTGCGAAAAAATCATTTTTTTCTATGCGAACAAGAAATTCCTTTTTCCTTATTTCATCTTTTATCAATTAATATGTTTCGATAAAAAAAAACAAAATATACTGTAAGGTGCAGCGTGAAAAGCTCTACAATCTACAAAGTAAAGCTTATTTCAATTATGTACTTTTCGTTTTCAAAAAGCGCAAAATTCTGTGCGACCAATTTTCGGCGCTGCGAGAAGATCATTTTTGGGTGTGGGTGTGGGTGTGGGTGTGGGTGTGGGTGTGGGTGTGGGTGTGGGTGTGGGTGTGGGTGTGGGTGTGGGTGTCGAGTGTAGATGTAGATAAGAGTGTTCAAAAAAGAACACATCCACACCCACACCCACCCTGATAGTCAATATGTAAATAATAAAGCTATTTTTCACAGGTTTTTTCGAGGTCATTAAAGGATATTTTAAACAAGAACTGAAACATTACATTAAATTATGCACATATGATACATAGAATCGAGCAGTTGGAAGTGGCGGTTCGTAGGATCGCCGACGATCGACTGTGAGTTGTCTCTTACTCTTTACTTTAGAAAATGTCAACAGAAAATTGAAAGAACCTGTCTTTTTACAAAATGGTCGTCAATAACAATTTTCTATCGTTTTTAGTACACGCGTGTTTGTTCAGCAATACTTTTCAAAATAGAGTTTAATGAAAAGTGATAGATGATGAAAAGATTGAATTCAGTTGAGGGTCAAGCGAGTAGTAGCGACGAGCGTTACTTGTCCTTTAGATGAAACACTGATGCGAAATAAAAAGAAAATGTTTATAAATATGAAACGTAAAATAAAAATACAGTTCACTAATTAAATTCATCAGCAATTGTTGTGTATTCCTTATATTCTATTTTGTAGCCAAGTAGTTGACCAATGAGAGTACCTGTTTTAACTATTATTTTCGCAAGAGGTAATGGTAAAGATGCTGGATAGGTTTGAGCATTTTCGAGAAGTACAAATAATTGGAAAATAGAGGTGTGTTGATCACGAAAGATACCAGCTAAATTTTCGACGAATCCTTGCCGAATGCCACTGTACATGCTGAACGGTTCGAGACGAACACGTACAATAAGATCTTCTTTATTGTCACCCATCCAAAATGTGTGTAGTACAAGAGGTGGCACAATAAGAGGTCGTGGACATGTGTGAATGTCACATGAATATACTTTATCACCCAGTTGATAGGCTAGTTGACCTTGTAGAAGAGTAAAAGATTCTGTTTGATTTAGATGTGCATGTAGAGTCGGTGTGCAGGAGCGCTCCATTGGTGGCATTTGAAGATTACCACAGAGACCGTGCGCATAAATAATATTCTCAAATTCAAAATATGAATAATTTATTCGTTGTGATCCATTAAAAAATTGGTATGACTCAGTATTATTTGCGAGAGAAGTTGCAATGCGGGATAAACCTGCTGTACGAGTTCGAACAAGCTAAATGCATTGTAGAGAACAACAACACAATATAAGAAAAAGTTTTTCTGCCTTAATTAATCAGGCGAATATTCTTTCAGATTTAATACTTTCTCTAGCTTTTTTATATTAAAAAGTAGGTTTTGTAAGATTCAAAGTTTCGTTCGGGAAGAGCAGGGAGGAAGACTATATAAACTAGCACTATTAAGGTTATTTTCTGAAGCTATTCTATTCTACTCCTATTTTAGTAAACAGTCTAGCTTTACATTCATTCGTATCTTGAAGTTACTAGCTACAAAATTCAAGAAACTTCAAAAGCTTCCTTTATTTAGATTGTAATTGGCCAACAAAACGGAAAACTTTATCTTTTTGCCTAACATGGAACAGAGCAAAATGTCTAACCCATCTCTAATACACATCGATCAAATGAAAGCCTGAGATTCAAATTGAAAAAACCGACCTGAGATGTCCAATGACGACAGTATCCAAGCCATGTGGCCAAACTGCCAATCACCAACCATTTCAACCACCACCACATGATATATTTGGCTTATACTCGACAAAAAAATGATATAAAACTTACCTGACTAGCGAAGAAATGAAAAGAAGAATATTTGAAGTCGTAAACAAGGCGAACGAAACGGACACGTGTGTCTATCCCGTACGATGGTAACAAATGGGACGAGAAGAACAGCAAAATATCATAATAGGGCATAATGCTGCTCAAATAAATAAATGAATGACAGATGAACCTAGAATCAAGGAAAAGTGAAAAAAAATATTTTTGAGGGTGTGAGGGTGGATGAGGGTGAGGGTGATTCAATTGAAAAACAGACTGATGTATCAGGGCTCGAATCGGGCCGCCCGGCCCAGCGGACCGGACCGGACCGGCCCGGCCCAACAAGGCCCGGTCCGGGCCAACGAATTTTTTCTGTTGGGCCGGGCAGGCCAACCAAGGAAGACCAACGGGCCGGGCGGGCCGAAGATTTTGTCAGGCGGTCCGGCCCAACAACATTGTTTTTATTAAATTTTATAGATGTCATCAGGCTCAGAAATTATAACAAAATATATATTATGAAAGTGTTTATGAAAGTATCACCAGATAGTAGAGTAAGCAAATAACTTTTTTGTTTATGAAATCTGTTATTTGTTTTCTTTATGGTGGCTTTCACACGTAATCAACAACAACTTTTTTCTGTTCGTTAATTTTTTTTATTAGCTTCATTCATTGAATCCAGATACGGTAGAAGATGTTCCTTTTGTTCGTTCCATACAAAAACCATTAATGAATAACCCTAATCTTTTCTCAGATAAATGTTGATTTTTTTCATGTGTAGTGTATTATTTTCACTGGTTCTACATCTAGTAGTTTTTCGTGGTACTTGCTAATTTCTTTTTTCGTTATTACATTACTGATCCAATGTCATTAAATTCATCAATAAATTATTGATGTACACTACGGAAATTTCTTTTGAAATGCGACGTTTATTGTTATAATCAGTTCTGCAAAAAATATTTTCTAAAACTAATTTCGTTGGGCCTAGGTCGGGCCGGGCCGGGCGGGCCGACAAATTTGGTGGGCCAGGCCGGGCCGGGCCGAAAACACGACAAGTTGGGCCTGGTGGGCTGCAGATTTGATGGGCCGCTTTGGGCCGGACCGGGCCAGAAAATAGTGGCCCAGTTCGAGCCCTGTGATGTATCTATCTTGAAGAACAGACAAATACAATCTGCTGTTCTCAACTCTTGCTTTTCAGCAATCGATTCGTTTATCAAAGTTAAATAATAAAGAAATGCAGTTTAATTTGCCAACGCGTTTCGTGTTATTTATTAAAATAAAAAACACTTATTAAGGCTATGCACATTTTTTACATTTTCAGAAAAAAGAAGTTCAAGTACACGAAGAAAATAGTTTTTAAAAGAAGGATAAACATAAAAATAAATATACATATATGGGCAATGAAAAATAAAAAAATTTTTTGTATATAAATATTATAGGAATCTTTGAATTGTTTGCCGTTGTTGAATGTTCCAAATAGATTAATATAAACTTGATCAAATTCGGAAATAAATCTTGTGCATGATTTTTAACAAAATATTTGTATTGGATCAAGTTTAACTAATTTTCATACATTCTGATATCCTTGTGATAGATCACTAAAACATCCAACTGTATGTTTAATTAATTTATCAGTTATAAATGAATATTGTAAATTTATAAAAAGAAAAAATTTTTTATAAATAATGATAAAAGTCGTTCTTCATCACCAATACCAAGATGTTTAAAAAAAGAAATTTGATAAATTTTATTTGATTGTCCATGATCGCCAATATTTTATCGTCAAAATTGTTCGAAAAAGCTAATTCAAGCCATTCCGAATATGGTGTTGGACTAATTTCATCTGTTGTTGTTATTGTGTTTTTGGATTTCCAGACACTATTACGTATAATTCATATGGAAGAATTTGTACATAAAGGTGCGAATGGATGTATTCTATCCATAAGATATTGGGTTGGTAAGAATTTTTTTGCGTTTTTCTTCAAAAATTTTCTTTTTATTTTTTAGATGTAAGAATACAACTACAGTAAAACCTCTCTTAAGTGGGCACCCTTGGGACCCTTTCAAAGTGCCCATATTACGGAGGTGCATTTCCAGCAAAAAATGATTTTTGGGACTATTTCAAAATGCCCATATTACGGAGGTGCCCAGTTTAGGAGGTTTTGTAGTAGGTTTCAACAATGTATGCTTCATTACTATCTATGACTTGTCGCCAACACTCTAGTAGACAAAGGATCCCGCGTTCCTAAAACTCCTGGGACTTTTAGCCAAAAAAGTTGAGGTCCATTTTGAGGTCGTTCTTGTCGTCGAATGTTTTCTCGTGCAAATGGTTAGACAGAGAACGGTACAAGCGGTAGTCCTTAGGAGCCAAGTCTGGAGAATAAGGTAGATGTGGAACCGTAACCCATCCAAGCTTCAATAATTTTTCACGCGTGGACTTTGCAATGTGAGGTCTGGCGTTGTCCTACAAAAGATAAATTCGATTCTGCTTCCTCTGGAGTTTTGCTGCAACTTGGTCTAATTGTTGACAATAGAGATCAGCAGTGATGGTGCAGCCAGTTGGAAGAAATTCTCAATAAATAATTCCTCTCACTCCCCACCAAACGCTCAGCATAATCTTGTTTGGGTGAAGGTCATTTTTGGGCGTTGCTACACCTGTTTGTCCAGCTCCCAGTCACTGTTGCTTGCGCGTGTGGTTAACATACAACACCCACTTTTTATCGCCAGTAATAAGATTGTGGAGCCATGGGTAGTTGCGATGGGATGTCATTAATTCCATACAAGCGTCACCGCTGTGTTGGAGCTGATGTGGTGACAACTCACGTGGTATCCAAACTTCGCATTTCCACGTTTTGCCTAATTCGCCCAGATGTATTTCCACTGTAGTATGAGAGCACCCAAGTCGCTCTGCTAAACATCGTGTAGCCAATCTAGGATCTTCTTCGATAAGCTGCTTTAAAACGTCCATATCCACCTCTAGTGGTCTTCCAGAATGAGGTAAATCGTCGAGTTCGTAGTTATCATTCTTGAATCGATTGAACCAATGTTGCGCTGTACGAATGGAGAGTTTATTCTTGTCCGTCGTGCTGCATATGCTGCTTGTTGCTTCCGTTGCTTTGCGACCCAAACGGAATTTATGAAGCAGAAGCACTCCTAGCTCTCTACGAGATATCTTCATATCTAATTCAAGATCAACATCCATATCCATAGTTTTGTTGTTGCTCGAAAGATATTTGTACCCCCTGTATATACCCTTAGTATAGAAGCTTCTAGAACTTTCTTGACTGTTCTAGGAAAATTAAAGAAAAAACGCAAAAACTTTCTGGCCAACCCAATATTTCATCTGATCTTCATATTTCTGTGAATTTCATTGATAATTTATTAAGTTTAATATGTTATTATTCCATGTGTGATTATTATGGAAAAATAATTTGTTTTCTCCATGATTTCATTCAATGAAAGAGAATTTTGATGGAAAAGGAAATTTTTCATTTATCAATGCAGAAATTAGTGAGATTATTCAGCAAAAGAATAAAGTTCAATGAAATTAATATTTGAGTGAGACTGTATTGGTATTGTTACAGCTCTAGAGAAGATGAATAAATGTTTATTTCAACAATAAAGAAAGCAATAGAAAAGAGAAGATCGTCTTCTTCATATAGAAAATCTAAATCAAAAAACAAAACTATGTGCTAATGATCGATTGAAATAATTTGCTGTTATTGCTAATAAAGTATTAATATCATTAGTTATATTGGTGGTATGATTGAAGCTGAAGGTGATCGACGAATTGGAATTGATAATAAGGTGTCATTAGTGATGAAAAATCGAATCTAATCGATTGCCTTGTGGAGAAAATTGTTCAATAGCATCAGTTAAACAAGATTGAAATAATGTTATTTCAAATGAACACATTTCAGGAGGAATTTCTAAAGAAAAAAGTTTTTTTTCTTCGACAGATTCGATTTGATAAACAAAATTTGAACAAGAATTTTCTCGGTTTGAGGATGCGAGATGAAGAGCACACCCTCATTTTCAAGATATGATTCAAGACGGTTAGTCAAGAAAAATCATAGTGGGTCGATTTGGCTTATTATGTGCTCCTGTTCTTCGTCGCCTTCTGGATAGAATCGCGTATATAATTTAAAAAACTGTGTAGTATTGTGAAAAATAAGGATTACATTTTATTTAGTAAAATTGTACTACTCACTCGAGATCATTGACTTCAATAACCACTTTCCCCGTTACTTTACGAGACATCATCCTATCATAGGCATCGAGCACATCTGTAAATTTGTACGTAGAG